ATCACAAAACAAAGTAGTGAAACCGACATTAGTTTTACAACTGAAACATTATTTAGGTGTTCTGAGAGCAAACACAAAAGACCCAATTACTACCAAACATCAGGGACACATTCTCCTCCAGAGTGTGTGTGTATGTGTGTGTGTGTGTGTATGTGTGTCAGTGTTTACAGGAGACTGAAGAAGTCACATTAAGTTAATCATTAATCCAAGAAAACAAATTATACAAATCATATTCAAATAATAAATCATTGCATTTCAACAGGCTATGTGAAGGACTGTTCAATCATTTTAAGGCTACTTTTAGGGGATGTGACCACTTTTCGCTTGTTTGTAAAAATGTGGGACATAAAGTAACCTCCAAGAGAACGACACTTCAACCTGCAGGCTCAAATGTGGTCAGTCCACTTAACCTAAGTCAGACCTAAGTTTAGGCTGCTAAAAAGACACACATTTAGTAAATGTCCTCGTTAACTTGCATAGTAATGAAAAAAGGTGATTACCGTAATTATCATAAACGCTGACGTATGATACACCAACGGCCATACACCACACCACCAGGTTGGCTATGTCCGTAAAACTGGGTTCCTCCTCCGCTACCATGAACCCGACGTGGACCGGCAGCTTCTCCAGGGACTTGCGGTCTGACAGCAGCCGTGAGCGGCGAGCCTCGCCGCGCTTCTCGGTCCCATCGTGGGTAGGGTTTAAGGTCGTTTTGTAGTCCGGGAACCCTGACACGGCTACGGGCAGCAGCAGCACGGCGATTGCACGCTCCCACAGCCGGCCCGTCCAGCCCCGAAAACGGACGCTGAGCCAAGACACAACCGCTCTCTTGAGGCGGACTATGGCCAGCAGCACCCACCATAACAGGCCGTATAACAGCGCCATTAGTGCCCTTACTCCTTCACGATAAAGCTGGTGTACAGCACAAGAACTTTATCCGCTTGGAATCTATGAGAGAAATATCTACTTCACTTTCGCCGGTTGCTAACTCCGCCTGTCGCCATTTTCTTCTCCCTTCGAATACCCCTGACCTAGTAAACGCAGCTTAGCAGCCAACTCTTCGCGTGCTACACGGAGCTCTCCCATTGGCCAACACGGGGGTGACGTACACACTTCTGACTACGCCTTGTATGAGCGTTTCCGTTTGATCCGTTCCGGAAGACTGAATATATTTTAAAATTATGTTAGCTGCTATAAATTGCATCTGGTTTGGGAGTGACACAAAAACCAAGTTTCGGTAGCAACGAGTCAAGCATTTATTTTTGTCCCGGTTTCACTTCACGTTTAACGTGACTACACCGGAAGTCACGTGCTTCCATCCCGTCAACGTTCATAATAAAACTGTCTTTTTTCTATTATAATCGTATAAATCTTTTAACGTATTCAGCAGCAAACATGAAGACATCAGTGACTAACAATCCAATAAGCTTGTTTATGTTGCCAACATTTATTTTATTTAAATATATGTTTCAACAATGAATTAAGTTACATATGTAACTTTTCAAAATGTACAACGATCATTCTAAAATGACTATTGAATTAAAAGTTTTTTTAAGGCAATTCCTGTTGCCACAACTAATGTGACGTCTGAAAAAATATTTAAGCATATCATCTTACTACTTTATTCACCCTTCAATAAAGTGATTTTTCAGTAGAATGGCCATTAATATGTTCAAATCCTTAATATTTGTTACCTAAAACTGCTTATTCGCAGATGATTTTTTCCCATAATTTGGCATAAGACATATTTATCATTTTAAAGAGATTCAAACCTCAAGTCAAGTTGATCTTAATGTAACTCAAATAGTTGGATAAAAGATGATCTTAGAGCTTCAAAATAAAGTCTAGGAGGAGGGGGAACTGCTGTCAAGCTGGAAGTCAGTCATTGTTCCAAAAACAAAACCAGGGAGAGAAAACTTAAAGCAGAAAATGATCAACCAATTGCACCATTATTTTGCATACATCAAATAAATGCAAAATAATTGGGTAAAATATTATAGGATACATTTCTAAGTTTAAAAGAGAAGAAAAGGGAGACATACTAATTATCCATCAGTGTTTAGAAGATTAAATCAGAAGAGTGCAAGTAAATAAACTGTGGTTATCTTTTTTTTTTTTAAAGAAAAAAGATATGACAAGATGTGAGTTGAAAGTTCACAGATTGAGTTAAATAAAATGGGAATGATATATATATACATATACATATATACACACACATATATACATACATATATACATACACATATATAGATATACACATATACATATATACACATATACATATACACATATATACATATACACATATACATATATACATATATACATATATATAAATAAAATAAGTGTTTGGCTGGCAGTAACTGGGGAGAAGAAGCTTTAAAACAAATTTACACAGGGTTGATCATTTATTGGTTATGAGAGTATAAATTCAGCAGCAAAGACTCAGGGAAAAAAAGCACTTTATTCAACATTAAGCCTTGAGACTTTGCACAGGAACCTTAAGAACAACCCAAATAACAGCACTGTAGGT